GTCGATTCAAGTTCAGTATTCTATAGTGTAAGTCTTATTTTAGAACGTTCATATTCATTTCGCGGCTTTAGTTTGTCAGAACGATATCAGTTTTCGATATTGGTAGAGTGCAAGCACCAAAAATAAACTATATACAGAGTTAGGCTAGCAAAATTATTAGCAGCGCATTTTGCAGCCATTGTGTTGTGAAAAATAAGATGTTTTTTATAAATTTGCAGCTACCTGATACACAACAGTTTCTCAACGTTGCTAAAAAACAAATACAAACACGCTAAAATGTCGCGGATAAAATAAGTTCTGTAGTCTGGAAGCTAAACTCTGCAAGTTTGTAACTTCGCAAATAATGTATCAAAATTGATGAAACGTTTGTTAATTGAGACAACTTGTTGGGGTTTGTTTTAGTTACCTATCTTTGGTGTTTTAATCCACGACTAGTATATTCTGATGAAATTACTTAATAATGCCGCTTCCTAGCGGCTTTGAAATTGCCATGTTTCTATAATAACCGTACTCTGAGCGTTATCTTTGAAACGAAAATATTTTGAAAAATGCATTTGATCATCGATGTACGTTTGGTGAACACTATGTAACAATAGCTGAAATATATCAAGATAAAGTCTCTTTATAATGTTTCATTTTTGAACGTGTTCTTAAACCTTCGCTGTTTTTTCTTTCTGTCGTGGATTATCTCCGGTGGCTCAGCGGTAAGTTAAAGGGCTTTTAACGCTAAATTTTGGGTTTCAATACCCACGGTGGATAGATAAGAGATAGTCCATTGTGTAGCTTTGTGCTTAAGAGCAAACAAACAAAACTGTCATGGTCTAATGACTTGTACTATAAGTCATGTCGATTTTGTACCTCAGAGGGCATGTTTATATTTTCATCAAAAATTGTTCTTTCATTTGTTTATGTGTTAGTGTGTTGTTAAGAGAAAGTTACACAATGGACCTCAGAGGGCATGTTTATATTTTCCTCAAAAATTGTTCTTTCATTTGTTTATGTTTTAGTGTGTTGTTAAGAGCAAAGTTACACAATGGACCTCAGAGGGCATGTTTATATTTTCCTCAAAATTGTTCTTTCATTTGTTTGTGTGTTAGTGTGTTGTTAAGAGCAAAGTTACACAATGGGCTGTCTGAGCTCTGCCCACTTCGGGTATCGAATCCCGATTTTGAACATTATAGGACAAACTTCACGCTCCTTGAAAATAAGACGCAAAAAAAACACCAAGGTAGAGGTGAATTTCAGATATTTGCCTTAACATATCATCAATTTGAAGCAGGTCACAAAATGCTTTGAAATGAAATTCTTCTCCTACACCAACTCAAAACTGAAAAAGAAAGAAACTGTTTAGAAACTATAGAAATCGCTACACGAATTGAGTCATTTTTTCACTCATTACCGAACGTGCAACAACAGCTATTTGTTATAAACAGAAGAAGATAGACCAACGCTCCGTCGAAACATGTAGTATGTTCCACCATCAATATAACTCTTCTTTATGCTTATAAATCGTTCTATGACTATCTGTTATTATATTAGCATAATGTGCTTCCTTACTCAAGTTTATTATTAGGTATTATCCACCATTATAATAGGCTTTAATGTATTCCTTTGGTGTGCTGACCCAAACTACGCTGCTGAGCCTTCAGTAGGTCAAACTACAGTCCACAGCAGAGAGTATGACGAATCAAAGACTATAATAGTCCTCTACCACAGAAATTATATTCCCTTGGCTGTGGTTCAGCAGCCTGAAAATGAAACACAACACCTATAAAACTACAGTTGAGTCAAAACATTTACATAGGTAAAAATAAAACAAAGGTTTGTCTTATATAGGTTAGATTCTTCTGTAGTTTTCTTGTGAAGCTGATCGGTACTCATCGCTCCCGGTGGCTCAGCGATATGAGAGCTTATAACGCTAAGAATCGGTTTTGGACACCTGTGGTAGGCAGAGCACAGATAGCTCATACTGTAACTTTGCACTTACCAACAAATAAACATACAGTACCCATCGTAAATCAGCGAGAAAATCCTAAACTCATGCATTCTTATAATAAAATTTCATAAATGTTTACTCCATAAAATCAAACTAACTACAATAAAGGAGATATTAACGGAAGTTGTAATTAGTTGAAAGAGAAATGTCAACTAATTCCATCAGGTGTCAAAGGATTTAAATTAAATATAAGTTTGTGTTCTAGACTTTCACGATCAGATTTTTTGTGAGGGGCATGTTGTAAAACAAGTACACTCATGTCATCAATTTCACTGAGTGGTCGATTGTGCCCTTTTGAATAAAAGTCTGAATAAATGTCGAAGATGTTGTAAGACGATGGACAATACTGTTATTTCGTTACATGTCTAAACAATTATTATTTCAAGAAGTTCCTTTTTATGTATATCAAATTTCAAAATCCTTATTGTACGTATAATAATAATTGCTTTTTAAAATTGAAAATATTGTCAGAATGATTTGCATTATATAGAAAAACTATAATTATCTCCAATTATTGTCAATAACTGATATCACGTCATTGTATACTTTACTTAAATATAATTGAGTAACGCCTATAATTATCGTATCACATTCTTTTAAGGCCAATAGGTACATACTATAGTTACTGTCGAAAATGTTGATTGTAGATCATATGATGAAACAAAACAAATCTTATAAAAATATTTTATTTACATACTGACATAGAATACAGCTACTCAATCTTTTACATTTTCACGCCCCCTTGGAATAGATGACATAATCCTATTATAACACCTAGCATACCTACTGTGGTAATCCTATTATATCGCCTAGCAACACACCCCTGGTGTATCAGTATGAATGAGATACACATTAGGTTAATACCCTCGGCACGTATCGAAATTGGGTGGAGGTCATGTTTGTTTACTTCAGGCTCCAGACGAGCATCTATACTACTAAGGTGTATAAAGACTGTATATTAGTCTGTCGTTGTGTGGTATAAAGGTGTATAAAGACTGTATGTTAGTATGTCGTTGTGTGGTATAAAGGTGTATAAAGACTGTATGTTAGTATGTCGTTGTGTGGTATAAAGATGTATAAAGACTGTATGTTAGTACGTCGTTGTGTGGTATAAAGATGTATAAAGACTGTATGTTAGTACGTCGTTCTGTGGTATAAAGATGTATAAAGACTGTATGTTAGTACGTCGTTGTGTGGTATAAAGGTGTATAGAAACATATAAACAACTCTGTAGAAATATGATAGTGCGTCCCCAGTCTCTCTCACTAGATATTTTCAAGACTGGCCTTGAACTATTCACAGCTACACTATCTAAAACAAGGTACTCTAAACATTTAATTTTTTCTCCACAAATATCTCGGAAATAATATTCTACCTTTGGGAGTTCAACTCCATTTTTATCATACAAATCTCCACAACATTTCTTATCATTGTCAAATAACCAACAACTCTACAAATCGAATTGACTTCTTCCACACGTGTTGATGTACTATTTGCCTCACACGTGACTACGTCACTGACTAGTACACTCTCTCCAGTACCACCAAGTAAAAGGACAATTCACCAACTGTACACCAGAGTGTATTATTTATTGCATTCACTGTACTAGGTGCAATCACATCTGTATTGGAGAAACTATACGTAGGTTAGGTGATATATTTCGCGAACATCTTCGACCAAAACGGCACAATCGACCACCCAGTCCCAAAACACTTTAACTCCCATAGTGAATTGATGAAATAAGTGTACTTGTTTTAAAACATGTCCTCCACAAAGAAAGCGTGAAAGCCTAGTAAACAAACTTATACTTAAATTAATTTTTTGACACTTAATGGTATTAGTCAATGTTTCTCTTTCAAGCAGTTACAGCTTCCGTTAATATATATTTTATTGCACCTTTTATGAACTTATTTTTTACACATGTAACCACTACTCACCCATTACCTTGTACAGATAATATTTACTTGTTTAATCTTTTCTATTTTATTATGGCATTTACTTATTCTTGAAATTGTGTAATTGTTTGACGAATTTTCTTGTGCCTGCTGTGACAGGACGTTTTAGTTACCGTTTATATTTAATTGTTGTATGACTAAACCAGTATATTCAACAGTGTTATTTCTCATATATCACTCTGTATGCGTGCATAACGTTCTGTTCTTTGCACGAGTCCTAACTACCAGTATATATTTTTGGTAAATTTTAAACATTCTCTGTATTTTGCAATTTTAACAGCTAAGAAGTCTTTGTTATAGACATATATTTTAACTTTTTGCAATATCTCTATACAAACAAAACACGAGTGAAATCAACGTATTATGTTATGATATTTTCTTTCATCTACAATTTTGAGCAACCACTCTCGACACCTTCATTTCAAAGTTACAGCCTGACGAAGGCTAAAATGTCGTTTCAAATAAAATGTAGTAAAATTATTCGCTGGTTTTACTCATTTGTTTGGGATGATTATCATTGTCACATCATACTGGAATTCAGCTTACTAAAATGATCGTCTTGTAATCTTTACTTCTCTTGTTTCATGTATTTGGAATTTTCATTCTGAACAGCACCCATACGTGAACTAAACGATCAGGTCAGAGACCCTCAGGATTCACGTATAGACGGCCCAACTTTGAACTACCAACCCAAGGGGAGGCAACCATCCGGAAGTATCCGCCGCTACCAGGGCTTTGTCCCGCTTTTTAAAATGAATAACAGGATTAACTCTCACTTTTATAACGCGCCTACAAAGAAAAGCGCAAGGTGTATTTGGTGGAATTACGTCTCTAACCCAGGACTCTACGAATCACAGTCCAACGCACTGATCATTAGGTCACATATAATGCAATCGTCACTTATTTCAAAAAATTGTGTTATTAGCAGCTTTGTTGTGATTCTGGCGATGTCAGATAATGGAAAAATATTAGATTTATTTGTATATTATTACTATCAGTTTTGAACGTTGTTTCATTTTCTGACGTCATCTTCTATTTCTATAGGAAAGAAATCTCGCTGTGCATCATCGATAACGAGAGTTATGAGAAGGATGTGATGTTTTACGTGGAGCTCGGAGATCCGAAATTGGAAGAAGGTAATGTTTAGTTTGCATTTGTCATTTGTATGAAAGTCTATTTATTTTACAAAGTGTCCAATTTTTATGTGCAACATAATCAGAAGATTGTCAAATCTTACGAGTTTTGTGTTTTTTGTTTAATCCAGTTTGTCCCCAGGTGGGTTAGCGGTAAGCTTACGAACTTTCAACATTAAAATCGGGAGTTCGGTTCCCCACGGTGGACATAGCGCAGATATCCAATTGTGTAGCTTTTCGCTAAAACTAAAATAAAAAACAACGAAGTTTAATTTAGTTATAAATAAAAATAAATCTTTTTTTAGAGAAAAATGATGCAAAATAACAATGAGAAAAATGGAATGGTAAAATAAATTGAAACAATGTTAAATAGTTTTTACATAAAACACTGCACGGATCTAAAAATATACAATAATAATAATTAATAGCAAAATAAAACAAACGTTCAAAATATAAGACTTCCGATGGCTCAGCGGTACGTTTGAGGGTTAATAACGCTAGAATTTTAGGTTTGATTCCTTTGGCGGTCACAGCTCAGTTATCTCAGTGTGTAGCTTTGCACGTAAAGCAAACAAAATCGAACAAAAACGCTGAATATGACGAAGCGAAGAGAAGATGATCTGGTATAACAAATAAAGGTTGGAAAATTAATTTTAAAAAACAGACTTGTTACATCATAAACTGCTTAGAATTCGAAAGAACAAATAAAAGAGCCCGTGACAACTAAAAGCTCCCCAGTGGCACAGCGGCATGTCTGCAGACTTACAACGATAGAAACCGGGTTTCGATACCCGTGGTGGGCAGAGCACAGAGAGCCCATTGTGTAGCTGTGTGCTTAACTTCAAACAAACAAAAGCAACTAAAAAGAACATTATTGAATAGAAAATATAAAAATTGTAGGAAACTGTCGTACAATTACTTGATCAGTTTCGTATCTTATTGTTATTGTGAAAATGCATAAAGATAACGAATTGATGGAAAACAATGTTACTCTCGAATACGTGAGCTGGAAATGTAATATTTTGTATATCATGCAGTTTACGTGATAAATATTTTGAGAGGGGCACAACTGATAAAATAAGTTGCTTATCTTTGTAAAAACTCTTCTGATTAAATGAAGATTACGTCTGTTCACTTAACTTTGTAAAAATTCTTCTCATTTTAAGTGAACAGACGTAATCTTCATTTCTTTGTAAAAACTCTTCTGATTAAATGAAGATTACGTCTGTTCACTTAACTTTGTAAAAACTCTTCTGATTAGATGAAGATTACGTCTGTTCACTTAACTTTGTAAAAACTCTTCTGATT